TCAGGGGCAGGCGGTGTCTACCCGCCGCTGGGTGCGGTGAGGCGGGAAGGGCGTTTTGCTGCCAAGCCTCTAGGGCTGCAACCTCGATACGTGAGACGTGGTTCAAAGCACTCACGGAGTCCATGAGCAGAGCAGTCATTTCTTAACCACACTCCATGTATACTGGTGTGTGCTCCTTCTTCTTGTGCAGCTGACACCGACTGAAAACAGCAGATCTTTAAATAGGTCTTTCTATTCTACAATAAAGACATGTAACTTTTCGTGGATAGGGTGGTCTGTCCGGGGCAAGGACAAATGTGGGCTGCCTGCTGCAACCTGAGGCTCCCCACCCTGCTGCCTTCCCCCCAGTCATGCCCCCACTGGTGCTGGGTGGACAGGGGGGTGCCTTGCCATGGCGGTGCAGCTGATTCAGGGCTCCCAGGGGGAAGGCAGCACAGCAGGGAGCCAGCAGGCTACAGGGGGCAGTCCATATTTGGCCTGAGCACAAATCTAGCTTTTTAGTACTGCGCAGTAGCATTGCTAGGCATGAACCGAGATGTGACGCTACTATGCAGTAGTAAGAAGCTACGGCACAGTAAGTGTTGCTAGGCAACTATGCCAGGATGCCATTGTGCAGTAACGCTGGTTACTGTGCAGTCATTTAGTACTTGGTCATGCAAGTACTAAATGCGCAGTAACAACTGAGCAGTTAGCGCCTTGTGTAGACAGCCACTGAGTTGACTTGATCTTAGCCCAATGTGTCACTGCACTCATAAGTGATGCTGGGGGGAGGGGTTCTTGACCCTGGAAAGGTGGAGACCCCCTGACCTAGACTCGGCATACAGTCCTATGAAACTCCTGAGGTCAAATGTTGGACGCCTCAGGCCAGCAGTTCTTTACCAGGGAGCTGCTAAGTTCAGAAAAGGTCTGGAGGCAGCTTGAGACAAGGTGGAGACCCAGTGACCTGAAGGGCTGGCTCACATGGCAGGCAGCCCTCTGCTGCTCCGAGATCAGTGCTGAGATCCTTGTAGCATCCTCTTCCTGCCCGGGGGGCTGATACCCGCCTCCCGGCCTCAGGGTAGTGTTGCAGCACAGAGCAACAGGGCAGCCCGGCTCCGGGGTCGGCAAGTGAGATGCTTTGCTCCTAACCCCCACAACCACTCTTGCACCAGGGGCTGGCTGCCCTGGTGCCCCCTGCCCCGGGCTCGGACCACCTGTGGCAATGCGGGACCAGGTCCCCGCAGGCAGGTCACCATAGCCCGGGCGGGGCGGGCAGGCCGCTTGGAGCCCAAGTGGCCGGGAAGAGTCTCATGACGAAAGCAGAGTGGGCGGGGCGAGGACGGCTGTATGCAGATCTGGCGGGGAAAGGGGCGGGGTGGGAAGGGGTGCGTGGGGCAGTGTGGGAAGGGGCGCTGAGTGCGGTTGGGAAGTGGAGTGTAGACGAGGTGCCGGTTGGCGGGGCGGCGGCGGGCTGTGGAGCGGGGGCGGGGCGGGTGTGGTGTGTTCTATGATCTGCACGTGCGGGTCGGCGTGGGGGGCACCTCAGCCCAGCTTTAATTAAGCATACCTACCTGGCAGGGGAGAAACCGTGGTCGTCCGGGCGGTTTTCCCAGCGCGCGGCTCACCCCTTGCAATCCGGGCATGCTGATCCCTGCGATTTCCCCAAATGTGGGAAACTCGACTGCGTAATGTGTGGTAGTGGGGGACTGCGTTCCCGCTTTCTGCTGATGTGGTATGAAAAACACGTTAGACACAAATGGTGCAGATTAGGGGGAATGTGTTTCTTTGAGCTGATCTCATGGATTTAAGGAGCAGTGGTTGTAAGAAGCCGTCTACTGCTTTTTGCTTGCACCTACGTTGTAGGAGCAAGTTTTATCACTGATGCTGGCCGGGCTTTCATTCTGGGTGTGCAGGTGTCCTGCACAGGTCAGCAGTCCGGTGGTGCATCACTACACTCATGTATTCATGGTTGGGCAACCTCAAGCCTTCTGGATCATGTCAGGGTTTTTTTTTGGCAAAAATTATTATTTTTATATATATATTAAACTGTACCTCTAATAACTTGGCATGTGACCTCTGTAGTTCACTTGACAGTCCAAAAACACACTTTAACAGTTACACTACTTTAGTCCTGTTACAAAGTTCGCACCGCACAACTGCACACACCCATCACTGTTCCAGTGCTTTCACTGGTCGTCATACTGGTCCTTGTCACCCCATCCTCCATGTTGTCCCCCTCACTGCTCTCTTCGAAGGGCTTCCCTCTGAAAAGTCTGTGCCAGTCCCTTCTCTTCCATATGAGGTCGGCCATCTCTTTCCCATCATCCTTTTCTGTCATCCCTCAGTACCAATACATTTCACTCTGTCCCATTTTAATACAGTCTTGGATTGTGTGGTCTTATAGAGTGTGGCACTAAAGCATCCAACTCCTGTTTAGTTTAATCCATAAATTGTGGGGGAGCTTGTACTAGGGTAAACAGGGTGCTGGGTTGCTTATTATGAATCACTTGTGTAGCTGATATCCTTGCACTAGAGTTGGGGTTTTCAACCTTTTTTTATAAGTGTACCCCTGGTGGCCAGATGTGGAGCAGGGGGAGGCAGGTGGAGCGACAGCAGCATGGGGTGATGGGTGGTGGCAGCAACTGCAGCGTGTGAGCTTCCCCGCCATGTTTGGCTGGCCAGGTGGCACCTGTGTGGCCCTCAGAGGGGTGCTACTGCCCTCACCCCACCCTGGCCCTGATCCTGGGAGGCGGTGATGCAGGGTGGTGGCTCTCTGTTCCTGCGTGCCACCCTCTAGGGCCTTCCCAAGTACCTCTTGGGGTATGTGTACCCTCAGTTGACACCCCCTGTACTAGAGGCATTGTAGATTCTTGTAGGGGGCAGCCTGTCTGCAGTGCAAGGAAAAAGCCTTCGGCTTTCAGCAGGCAGACAAGGTTATTTAGGTAAATGTGGCAAATATTTGATTAGACCTGCTGTCTATGAAAAACTGTGAAAGCTTGGGCAGTGTTTCTTGCACAAAAATGCAAGACAGTGGCTGGGGCAAGACTAGGTTATGGTAACAAGCCTGCCACACGAAAATCAAACACCACTAATGGCTTGCATCCCATTAGGCGTTGAGACAGTGGAGCTTGAGGTACCCAATACCAGACCCATGCCATAAAATAATAGAAGTGATGGTTAAAATTGTTGGCAGAGACCTGACACACTCATCACATTCGTCACTTGACCACAGATTTGCTAGGACACTGGCAGAGTCTGCATGGTTATCATGGGCAACTTAACTACCCTGACATCTCATGGGAAGAGCACTCAGCCAAATCCAATTGGTAGTGAAGCTTCCTCTCTTGCATCAGTGAGCTCAATCTGGGAAACAGTGATCACAAATTGATCACTTTCTCTATCTATTGCAAAGCTGGCAAATCAGTCAGCAATGCAAAAATCCTTAACTTTAGGAAAGCCAACTTCCACAAGCTCAGGAGGCTGGTTGTTGAGGCCCTGAGAGGCCATGATCTGATGGGGAGGGGAGTCCATAATGAGTGGTTGCTCCTTAAGGATGCAATCCTCGAAGCACAAGGGAAGTCCATTTCAGCCCATAGGAAAGATAGCAAAAGGACCATGCGACCGCCTTGACTCAATAGGGAACTCATGCACTTTCTGTACCTGAAAGGGGAAGCTTATAAAGGACGGAAGTCAGGAAACACCACTAAAGGGGAGTATTCAGCACTGGCCTGCACCTGTAGGGAGTGAACTAGGAAAGCCAAGGCTGAAACCAAACTCAAACTGGCTACAGGAATCAAGGACACTAAAAAGTGCTTCTGCAGATATGTGGGAAGTCAGAAAAAAAACAAGGGCAACATTGGATCCTTGTTAAACCAAATAAGGTGGCTGACAACTGACACCCAGGAAAAAGCTAATCTCCTTAACGATTACTTTGTGTAGATCTTCCACTAGCCCAAGGGGATCAGCCTGCCTGACAAGATGCAGGATCACCAGGGTAAGGGCAAACATATGCCCATCATTGGTGAAGAGCTTGTGAGGGAATGCCTTGAGAGGCTGGACATCTACAAACCAGCTGGCCTGGATGGAATGCACCCAAGAGTGCTAAAGGAACTGACTGACATCATAGCATGGCCAATGGTGAAGATATCTGAGAATTCGTGGAGCTCGGGAGAGGTTCCTGAGGATTGGAAGAGAGTCAATGTGGTGCCTATCTACAAGAAAGGGAGGAAGGAAGATCCAGGGAACTACAGGCCAATAAGTTTCACCTCAGTCCCTGGAAAGATCCTGGAAAAAATCATCAAAGAGACTATTAACAATAGGCTAACGGAAGGCAACGTTCTGAGAGAGAGCCAACATGGCTTTGATGCAGGTAGGTCTTGCCTGACCAACCTCATTTTCTTTTATGACCAGGTGATGCATCTGGACAAAGGAGAAGAGGTTGATATCATATAGTTGGACTTCAAAAAAGCCTTTGACCTGGTGTCTCATGATGTCCTTATCATAAAATTGGGGAACTGCAGCCTTGACAACCATATGGTACGCTGGCTGGGGAACTGGCTCCATGGTCAGACCCAGAGAGTAATAGTTGATGGAACCAAGTCAACATGGCACATGGTGACCAGTGGCGTTCCCCAGGGCTCCATACTCGGACCAGTACTCTTTAATGTATTTATAAATTATCTGGATTCTAGTGTCAGAAGCAGACTGGCTAAGTTTGCTGATGACACCAAATTATGGGGAAGCATAGTCACACTAGAGGATAGGCTGGTGATTCAGGCTGACTTTTTGACAGGCTTGCAAGGTGGGTGGATCAAAACCTGATGGCATTCAACATGGAGAATGCAAAGTGCCCCACCTCAGGAGAAAAAAACCCACATCATACTTATAGGTTCAGTAGTGCTACTCTCACTAGCTCCATGCCTGAAGGAGACCTGGGGGTCACAATTGACCACAAGATGAACTTGAGCCACCAGTGTGATGCCACAGCTGGCAAAGCAAACAAATAATAGCTCACTTATTGAATATTAAGGAAAAGTCTTTGTTTTTCTGTCATTTAGTTTTAGTTTGTTGGTAGTTATTAAAGCAAGCCTTTCTGCTATTCATCAACCAAGTGTTAGGTTGATCTCCAGGAAGACCCAGGAAGTCATCCTCCCCCTTTCCTCAGCCTTGGTGAGGCCGCAGCTGGAATACTGCATCCAATTCTGGGTTCTGCAATTCAGAAAGGATGTGGAGAAGATTGAAAGAGTCCAGAGGAAAGTCACACACATAATTAGAGAACATGGGAGTAGGCCTTATGAGGAAAGGCTGGGACCCATGGGACTCTAAAGCCTGGAGAAGCAAAGGCCCAGGGGCGACTTGGTGGCAGCCTATCTATATATATAAAGGGCTTAGTTCATCTGTTTGTGTGTTAGTCTGTCCGTAATGCTCTTGGGGAGCATGGCTCCCAACAGGGCGTGGCTCCACCCAGTGCAGTGACAAGATGACAGGCCGGGCATTAATGGAGTGCTGCCACCCACTGCCCTGTGCCACTGCCACCTCTGGGAGGGGAGGGGGGTGTGGGGCTGGATGCAGAGCATGGGTGGCATGTCACGGGGCTGGATGTGGAACAGTGAGAAGCACGGGGTCAGACGCAGAGGGGTGGTGCGTGGCTGGATGCGGAGCGGCGGCAGTGCCAGGGCAGTGGGTAGTGGTGGCAGTGACAGTGTTTACGCTTCCCCACCCCCACTCTTGGGCGCTCCATTCCCACCCCCCCACTACCCATTCTTGACAGGCAATTCATCAAGAATGATGGGCGGGGTAGGCAGGGATGAAGCACCACCACTCACCACCCCACACTTCTGCTGCCTCCCAGGGGGGTGGCGCGGGGCTGGATGCGAGCAGGGCATGGTGCACAGCCGGATGCGGAGTGACAGCAGCATGGGGCGGTGGCTGGAGGCATCAGTGGTGGTTGCATGCAAGCTTCACCCCCTGCCCCTCTGCCCGCTCCTGCGAGATGGTGGCGGCATGGGGTGGTGGGTGGCAGCGCTCCGTTTACGCACCCCCTCGGTCGTTCTTGACAGGCAATTCACTAAGTACATAAGGGATGTGCATCAGGAACTGGGAGAACGTCTATTCACCAGTGCACCCCTAGGGAAGACAAGGTCCAATAATCACAAACTCCTGGAAGACCATTTTAGGTTGGGCGTAAGAAAAACGTCTTTACTGTCCAAGTCCCCAAGGCCTGGAATAGACTCCCCCCAGAAGTGGTGCATGCACCTACTCTGGACACTTTTAAGAAACATTTGAATGCCTGTCTTGTTGGGATCATTTGACCTCATCTGACTTCCTGCACCTTGAGCAGGGGGCTGGACCCAGTGATCTTGCGAGGTTCCTTCCAGCCCTGTCTATGAAATCTATGAAATCTATGTATCTCCAGGCTAAGACAGCCAGAGAGAAAGAGGCTGAGCCAGTGTAACTAAAAGCAAGGAAACTACATAAACATTCCTGTTGAACTAGCAACTAAAGAAGACAAAAGACTAACTGTACATTTCAAGCAAGACCTGTAAAAGGTGCATTGAATACAGGAAAGATGTCCTGTATATGACATCCTCACATTTCTCAAAACAGATATCCATTGTCTAAGGTGGGTGAATGAACCGAGACTGTAAACCCCTAACTGGGGCTTGGACTAAGGAACTGCGATTGGGTTAGGGAAGGGCAATGGGTTGGGGGGTGGGGGAACAGGGGC